AGGCTTTACACAGGAAGTGATCGAAAAAGTGGTCCGAGCCGATGCATTTTCAATAGCCTTCATCATTGAGCCGAAAGATGCCGGTCTATCAAATTTCACCAAAATGTTTCAAAAATTACGTCCTGTAAATTGAACACAAAAATACGTGAACAGTTCTCGGACGGACAGGCAGAAATCAGAATTTTCTGAAACGGGCGACGTAATAAAAGGGTTCTGGGTCTTACAAACTTAATAGTGATGTAGGGTGATTTAGAATTAACACTGTATGTCGTATTCTCCCAGTTTACTTGATAACTAGGTTAAAGGGATTGGTAAGGGAAAGATAATGCGCCGGTCTATCGGCTGCGCCCTTCTGAATTTACAGAAGAAATTTTTTTCCACATTGACTTGTATGGTATGAAAATTTTCAGCATGATCAGATATTCGAAAGTGGCTTAAATATCGAAAGGAAACTTTCCTGTCAGAAACTTATAAAAATGCGGCCGTTCGTATTCTTTTGAACCTTTTCAATATGACATTTTGTGAATAGCTACTGAAAGTCGCAATTTTTGAACAACTCTCAAGCGAAATGCACGAAAAAGTAACATTTTATGAGAAATAAAGGCTCGCATGAGCATTTCTGTTTGGAGTGGAAGACAATATTTTCCCCAAAGTTATTCTGCAATCAGATGTCATACACACATTCATCGTATATGTGTGCGCTGGGAAACGATGGTTTTTTAATTTCAATTATGAAAATTATGCACGCACATGCGAACAGTTGAAACTGGCTTATGTCACTTTTTTGTATACATTTTGATCAGCGACATCTATTGGTGAAAACGATAAAGAAATGCAAACTATCCATGTGTCGAACGGTGAAATTCGATGATTTTGACTTTTCTCTATATAAAATAATAGTTTTCCATTTAATATCATTGAGTTATTCAGTGTATACAGACGCTGATCATGGAACGCTCGAAGATGCCTTTTCGTTCTTTCTTTACTTTTGTTGTTTAATTTGATAAAATCAACTGTCGAAGTCCAACAGAGACTTTATGGTCGGCTTAGTTTGAACGGCTTAAAAGTGTCAGGTTCGATATCATTGACAAGGAACGGCCTGGAGGATCAAAAACATTCGAGGACAATGAATAGCAAGGCTTATTAAACGAAAATCCGCCTCAAACTTTCAAAGAAACGCTTGGTAGTAGATGAATCAACTGTTTCTAGACGTTTATATACAGCGGGAAAGATCTTAAGGCAAGGGATATGATTACCAGACGCATTGACAGCAAATGCCATTTCGTAACGTTTCAACATCTCGGTTTCATGGTTTACTAGGCATATTGCATATCTCTGGCGGTGAAAAGGGAGTCAACCACGACAATCCCAAGTTTTACTAGACTTATGGTGGTAGCATATTGCCAAGTGGTAAAACCGAGTGGAACTGTTACTGCTGATATCCTCCGGTGTCAATTGAACAAAAGAGACGAGCAGTGGCTATGAACAGGCGCATAGTCAACCTCTTGTATGACACCGCTCGGCCGCACGTTGCAAGAGTTGCCTAGGGCTCACTGCTGCAGCTCGAATGGGAGCAAGTTGAGGCGTACTCAGCTTACTCACCAGACCTATCGCCTTGCCACTTATACAGGTCGATGGTAACACGGCTTGGCTGGCGCACGGTTTCGAAATGTTGCGAAAGTCGATAACTGGATAGCTGGCGACCAATAATCGTCCTTTACAACGGTTGACAGAAAGATGGCAAAAAGTTGTAGAAAGTGATGGAGAATACTTTGACATATATTTATAAAATAATAATAAACGCCTTTTGCAAATGGCAAAGTGATCAAAATACATGTAAGTATCGAATAGTTTAGTTAGAAAATTTTTTGTTAAGTAACAAACCCATTGACATTAAGTCAACCTTCACTGTATGTTGGATCTCACATTTTTATGATCGAAAAATCGAAAATAAAAATTGAGAAATCTTGCGTTCTGTTTCAAAAAAAAAAAACAAAAAAAAGTGTATAGTCATTGTTACTACTTACCGTGAAGTGCGACGTTGAAGAAAATTTCAAAAATAGAGAGATTTTGAATTTATCTTAAAGGAAATTAAAGGCTATCGGAGAAACAAAACTTCGTCGCAGTCTTACCGTGGTATCGTTTGATGAAACTTCCCAAGCACTCTCGTCTCTCTTTATATAGAGTAAACTCAATAAATTATAAAAAAATTACAAATATTTAGTAGGAGGCTGCGAAAAAATTTGATAACATTTGGTGTCCTTTCGGACGTATTGAACATTTGCCTAAGCCTTATTTTTTTTTTTATAATGCGCTTTGTATATTGCAACCCTTTAGTAGACAGCAGACACTGACTCACATTGGGTGACGGCTAATAGCAATAACTTAATTTTTTTGTTTTTTACGTTTAGCTTTTATACCCTATAGTGCTCGTGATACAAAACAGTATTACCGCCGGAAATATAGTGTTAATGTATATACAACACCCAGACAGATTTCCGTTTATTTTACGGACCGGTTCACGAAGTGATTCTTGCTTGCCTGTCCTTGTATTCTAATCCAGGCAGCAATTTTTAAGATATTTTGATAAAATTTGGTACAACGAGGTGTGTTGGCCCAAAGACGAATATTATTGCAAATGGTTAGGATCGGACTACTTTTTCGATTATTTCCCTTACATCATTCCCTTCTAGTATTCTGAATAATTGTATTAAGCAAAGTGTACATGTATATGGATGGTATCTGATGGTAGGCCGTGGCAAACTATAATGTTTTCATTTCTTTTTAAATTTGTATACATTTTCTTACGTTTTTCCTAATTTTATAGTTATCTTGCGGTCTCACTTAGGGTAACATTTCTATTACTTTGTTACCAATTTTGATATGGGTTATGTTAACGACATGACATTCTTATGTATACTGCGCGAAGTTGCATTAGATTATATATTTAAATTTCCAGATATGTTTGTTTAAATATATATGTACGTGTATGTCGGCATTAGTTATGCTTACTTATATGTGGCACTATATTCTTGGCATTTATGTGTCAACGCAATTGAAGGAAATACTTACGGTTCCATAACAAGTGAAGCAGCACGATGCTTGTTAAAAGTCAACAAAAACGTAAAAGTGCTATGTATGAAAAGAATCAAATCAGTCCCAGTTAGAATATATTTCCTCGAGGTGCTGTTTATGTTTTTGACTTTTGTTTTTCCATGCTTATGATCTAGTTTGTTGTTCTTCAACTTAAAAAGCAATAAAACTTTTTTTTGATTTCACAAGTGTTACCTGTAATAACGTGTAGTAATTTAAGATTTATGTGATTTTGTTGTGTAACATATCTCCATATCTAAATATATATATATTTTTGTTCTCTTGTCTAACAGGAAATTGATTTTTTTTCTATTTTTCTCTGTTACTTTATTGTGTTCACTTTGATCAATTGCGTAGCGTATCTCTCTTCATTTACATGCTCTCTTATTGTGTTATTGCATTCTCTCTTACTCAAATTATTAGCATTCATTAACGGGCACTTAAGATCCAATTTGTTTGATGTCTTTTATACAGACACAATATTTACGCACACTTGAGAGTTTTATTATAGAATATCAGCTGTTGTTGAGCGAATGTACTGAGCACGTTGAGAGTTAGAAACCGATATAATGTGACGGCGAGGCGAGAGAGTGAGAGAGAAAACGAGAGAGTGAGAAAAAATGAGAAGAAAGAGCGAGAGAGAGTGAGAGAGAACATGAGGAAGAAAAAGAACATAAAAAGAAAATATTGAAAATCGCATATGAATGCCGTTCGTTTATAGCTATAAGCATTTATCTGAAGAGTGACATGAATTCGCTGATTTCTTTTTGTAGTTGTTATTGTTATTGGGGCTGTTATTGCCACTGTTGTTGTCGTCTGGCACGCACACATAATTTTGTTGCTTGTTTTCGATTGTTTTGTTTATGTTCCACTTGGACAAGCGTCGGTGACTTTTGCTGCTATTATTATTGCGGTTACTTTTGTTGTTGGTTGGTTGATTGCTGCTGCTGTTGCCGCCGCCGTCGCTATTGCTATTGTTCATAACGAACTGCCTTAATTCATAGTCAGCCTAACCAGAAGCCTTTTCAGTAACAAATGAAACGCGAGCGAAGTGGTTGGTGTGTATTTGTCGTGTGGTTGTAATGTGTAATGTGTGGGCTTGTAACTTGGGGTAAACGCGCCTTACGTACGAATACTTTTTTCATGTTGACCAAAAAAAAAAAAAAAATGTTCAGTTCATTAGACCGCGCGTTCATTCAATAATCCTTGTAAATATTTCATATAGATAGATCATTATTATTGTTAAAAAAAATAAAAATAAAAAATAACTTGCAACAATACATTAAATAATTTAAATGAAGAAATTTTTAAATCTTTTTTGCTAATAATTTCAATTTACAAAGTGTTTTGTATATAAAGTCTTTTCATAAAGTTCTTCTTTGTTTTGACGCGCGTTAGCGTTCAAAGCGCATGAACGTCTCCTCCTGTATACACCGGAATTGCCATTAAGAACCCAGCACACACGCAAAACGCACAAATGTGTATGAATCCTTAATGCAAGATAGATAGATAGATATTCACTATCAACAAAAAAAAAAAAAAAAAAAAAAAAAAAATTTAAATACAATAAATAAAGTGATATATCGCACTACTACTATATGCACATACGCACATACGTATATATGTAACGGAGATTTTACGAACCATTTGAAATGATTTAAATAGAAAATGAATTATAATAAAGAAAATTACAAAGAAAAGTGAAAATAAAAAAATTTACAGATCTATGCTGCTCTAAGTGTCGCATGATAATAATAATAATAATAAATCTTTATTCGAATAAAAATGAAAGAAAGAAAATTATTATTTTTAATTTCTTTGTTTATAATATTAACAAAAACATACTAATGCGTATATATATTTTATGAAAATCTATTTCAAAGAAAAAGAAAAATTTTTTATTTGTAATCTATTAGAAAAGGCAAAAAAAAAAAAAACAAAAAAAAAACAAAAAAAAACGAAAAAAAGATAAACAGTTCAGAAAAATGTGTGGATTTACGTTTATACCCCCACTGCTGTTGTTATTGTTAGGTGATTGTTTGTCGTTAGTGTACGGCGTGCCGTTATTCGAAACTGCCCTTAAGTATCATCATCATCATCGCCCTAAGGATGAATCAGCTGTTTCTGAGGATACGGTGGTAGGTACAACAATACATAATTTTCTCTCGCTCTCTTCACGCTGCCTGCCTAACGACTTCTTCCTTTACCGATAGCATAATAGTTTTCCATTGTAGTCTTAAAGTTTATTGAACCATTTATTTACTAAAAAGGTGTGTATGTGTGTGTGTGTTTGTATATGCGCGCCCGTATGGTCGTGTGCATGTTAATCATAACATCAGCAACAATCAATGTAAACGTTGCTAATACATAACATTCAGTCAGTGTCTGTAAAGAAACTGGCGCCGTTTTGTCGCATGTGGTCGCTCATGCTACCCTACATTCTTAGGCATGTTAAGGATATGTATATATATATATATATATACGCATATGTATATAAATATATGTACATGCATAAATATTGTTATAGGCATACGCGTACAAACGTCTGCACAGTTGTCATGCTGGCTATTCTTACAGTGTTTGTGTGTTCGCCAATTATACTCTGCTTTAGTCCTTGTAATACGATATTAAGTAGTTTTCTTTCTTCAGAGAACAGAGAGTGACTCAATCATTCCATCGCCCTATCTCTTTTTTAAATAACACATGTGTTGAAAATAAACGGTTTTGCGGTTTTTTATAAGTCCGCTTGTATACCAAGCTTGTTATGCTCGCTACGCTTTCTTATATTTACTATCTAGCGAAGTGTGTTTTAAATTTATTGGGACGTTTGCAATAGCAAAAGCATTGTTAAGATTGTTTTTTTTTTCTTCGAAAAATTTGGACAAACAGTGCACTATATAACTATTGCTTATGCACCATATCCGGGGGCAGAACGCAAGACTCTTGTTAAATATGTAGTTAATTGTAAGGATCTTTGTGGTTGAAAGCATGTTTTTCAACGATTGAATAATCATAGACAGCAGCCAACCACGTGTACTTAGATCGATGTGTGGTTTCTTAGCTGCGACCGCCTGCAGCTCGAAGGACCTTCAGGAATGTGCAATTTTAAAAGGTTTTTTCGCAAAGTTCCTGCAAAATATAACGATATTGTTAACGAATTTATAAACATACGCTGCAGAGTACTATAGACATCCGACATGTTAAAAGTCGTTCGTTGTCATATCCATTTACTCGAATGCAGTTTTTTTCAAACGAATTAATTATGAAACATTTTGTGCTTGAAATCTGGAAAAACAGCGGCATATTTGGCAAGTGTATATGTATTGGCTGCAGGTTTGTCATGTACGACGTTTTAATGTGTAATGATTCAAGAACATAAAATAACTTAATACTTTTCTGAGTAAAGGTTTTCATTTATCATCTTAAGATATAATCATCTACAATAGGGAGTAAGTTTGCGCTCTTACATTGGAACTTAAAAAGTATGTTCCTATAAAAATGTGGAGAACAGTTTAGTAACCTTTTGAAAAAAGCGTGACCATGTAGGAATGAGTTGCGGAACTTGTACGTAATGTAAAAGATAACGTCTCAGTCATTAATTCATGGGACTGACACGTTTCGCATCTCTTCCACATTACCCGAAGGAAGTCAAAAAAATTGCTAACATTATATTATATTCGAAAACCGCATCGTGAAGTTGAACTTAAGATATCAGAAGACAGTGTATTCACCGTTTTGGATGAATATTTGGACAAATGAAAGCTATTTTCCAGAAGCGGAACGAGATGAGAAAACTACGTGAATTGAACTGAATTTCGAATTTATTCCTCACTCATCATCATTTTGCAGACCTGACCCGCAAGGACTATTGCCTGTTTTAAAATCGCAAATGGAGAAAGATTTGATTCAAATCTTTACCGATTCTTGACAAATCGTCCTAGCGTTGAATGTGTTGCCGGTCTTATAGGAATATTTTTTTTTATTGCATTTAGTCCCGAGAATTATTGACCGTTGTATTCTATAAGAATTAAAAAATGAATAAACAAGTTTGAGGACTGGTTTAAAGATCAATAAAATAGGAAAGAAATTGAGAGCAACTTCACACTATACATATGTTAATGACACAGGAGTCCAGAAAATACTTACTAGTGTTTCAACAAGCATAAAATGGGCGATGGGATGGATGATTTGTTTATAGTTTTGTTGATAAAAAAGTTGGGAGCACTTTGCCAGACTTGGATAACCTGTTCACAATAATCAAAACACGTACCTAAGGAGAAGATTATTAAGGCGAAACTCTACGGTGCTGTACGGAATTTATATTACGAACTATGCATCAATTTAATAAATCTGTGCGCTTGCCTGCAGGTCTACTTGCTTCGGAGAGTGCAAGGTCTAAATTGGAGAGCGGATGCGAAGGTACTCTGGCACAAAAAAAAAATCTCTATCTATATAAAAATTAATAATAATAGCAATAATAATAATAATAATAATAATAATTATAAATAAAAATAAAACATAAGAACAACGTATCAGCTAATAAACAGTGAAAGCAACGAGAAAGTAATAATAATAAGCAGCACTTAGTTAATAAAACAATTGCCAGACATTGTATTTATGTACGCATTACATGCCAGTAGCTGTTGAAGAATACCAAAGAAAACATGCGCTATATTACAATGACAAGCGAACAAAGTTGAATACGATTGCAATTGAATAAGTGAGTGGGGACGGTCTGGCGTTTGCCTAACAACAATAGTTGCACGAACAGCAGCACCAACAGCAGCACCAACGGCAACAGTAGTTGTAGTACTACTACTACTCGGTTGCCCACACAGTGCTTGAAAAGCAGTGCAATGCATTTTGTAAACACTTACGCATCATGTATATGGAAGCTTTCCTATTTTTGTTGTTGTTATTGTTGGCAACTGTTAAGGAGGCAGCCAAGTAGTTAAAACCGATAACATCATTATCGTCATTCCAATACATTAAAAGCAGAGAAGCAAGAAACAATGCAATACAATTAAAATGCAACAGTAAGTGCACGCACTATTAGCATATGTATATATGTATATATGTATTGTCTATGTACGTGTACTTAATTATAAGAATATATATATATATATATATATATATATACGCGTGCATGAACAACAAATAAGTACTCGTTCGTTTGTTTGTTCTTTCTCTGCATTTTCTACGATTAGGGATTTAGGGTCACACTCGCTGTATTGCCCGCAAAACAAAAATGCACACACTTATGCACATAAATGTGTACGTTTTCTTATCAAGATTTCATGTTGCTTTTGTTGTTGGCACACAATGCTCTAAAAAAGAAAATTTATTCCTATAGAAACTAATGGTTTCTCGTTCTCGTCGCTCTTTTCGTTTTTTTTTCTTTTTTTTTTCTTTTTTTGCCTTATGCGTGCTATATCGATTCCAATGTGAAGAGAATGTCTACTTATGTAAAAGAATGTGTGAGAACATATGCTTTTTGGCAGTTACCCTATGGCTTGCGTTTTCTTCCAAAAAGAACAAGTTTGATAAGTTAAGGGCCAGAGATTCCGTAACTTGTTGCAATTGCTGCTCAAGGGTGAAAAATAAAATAGCCCATAAGGCATATGGAATATTGATCAGCATAAGACATTGAATTATTCAGTTACATCTGCCCGTGTCTGTCTGTCAAAAGCTTTTGTTTAAAATGAGTCTGAAAAATTGTAACTCGCATCTAATAGTCTACGTGACGTTAGAAAATTATTTTTTATTAGTACTTTTGTTGATCTTAATAGCTTTGTATTTATGTACGCATGCGGAATATTAACGATTGAATAAATATAAGAAAAATCGGTTAAATTAAAATTTTCCGCGGCAATTAAAAGCTAAAGCGGAAATTAAGAGCGTTAAAGCCGATCGGGAAGATCAAATTGATCGGATTGCGGAAAATGAAAATTGTCTCTTGCTGTTTGTTTTCTTCTCTTACCTGCTTCCTCAGAGTGCTTAACGGACTATTATTACAGTTAGGAGAGTAAGCAGATCACTGTGGTCTTGAACAAGTTAAGTCTTCAATAGAACTTTGAAGATGTACTATAAAGCTCTTGATGGGATCGTAACTATATAAAAGCGGGCGATTCCAAGAACGTATAAATTTTACCTTTAAATTGATCGAGAGTTTTAGACATTTTCTATATGATGACTAAGAAAAATAGAAGAAGTCATAATATTATCTGTGAGAATTCTTAAAACTCAATTTATCTATCACATCCTACCATATTGTTTATATCATACGGTTACTCTATTATACCCTCAACTTTTTTGCACGGTAGGTGTTTTCTTCAGAAATCCGTGCAAAAAGAAAAAGTGTAGTAACATATGATAAAATTGGTGATGTGTTCTGGAGATCTAAAATATCGTTTAAAACGAGAAAACTCTGTATATTTCTTCAAAAAATCGTGCAAAAAAAGTAATACCTTAACGAACTGGATCAAAAATGCTATCATCGGTAGAAATGTAGGACATGTCGGCGTTGATTCTAATGAAAAATATCGTTCGTTGTTAACGGACAAGTGCCGTTAAAGTAAGTCATTAGCATAAGCGAAGTCATAAACGGACTGACTTATATTCCCTCAATTATAACTTGTTACTGTGTACTTAAGTTTCTATGAGATACTTTCACAATCAGAAATGAAAAAAAAATTTTTTTTTTGGACTCGTAATGGAACAAAAAATGCGTGTAAAAAAAGTATATTTGCTCTCATTGGTGAACCGAAAGAGTGGTGTTGAGTATATTAATATTGTATTTATATAACACATATATTATTGTACTCTATACAAGTTGCGGTGAAAGGGTATATTAGGTTTATGGATGTATGCCCAGAAGGACATAAGATATATCCGGGTTTGCTTATACCGATATATCGATTCAGAATCATTTTCATATATAAGCTTTCGATATAAGTTTGTCTGTCCATCTATCCGCCTTCTATTCTTGTGTTCAATCTACAGGCTGCAATATTTTAGATATCTTGACGAAACTTGCTACGCTAACGTGTTTTAGCGTAAGAACGATGTTATTGAAAGCTGGGATCAGACTGCTTTTTCGATCACTTTCCATCAAACGCTTTATACTCAAAAGTCGTTT